CTTTTTTCTCTAAAATNTAGCAACTACAAGTTTTCATTTTTTTTTCTCTAAAATCATTGTTAAATTATTGATTTCAAAATAGTCATTGGATTTAATTTTTGTTTCCTGATTCCGCAACACATTTGGTACTTATGCTTACAGTCACTACTCACTATCGTCTCGATTTTTCACCGAATTCATGTAATTTTCCAAATATTATTATGTTACCTAGAAATAATGATGCAAGTACCTAGCTAGTACCTATGATGCACTATATAACACTATAATATATATGATACGATAATTTAATACATTATACACAATTCAATACGGCAATATCACATGAACTACTTACGAAATAAAAATGTATGATGATCAAATGATAACTACCGAATACCAGTTACCGGAATTACTTCCTAGTTGTCATAAATAAATAGTCTGAATGTATTTTCGTTGGGAAAAATTGAGAACTTAATCAGCAGCACTGCTGCAAGACTGATCGTCGCTACTACTACCGACATTGTCTGACGACATTAATATATTATAATATGTATTTACTGTTCAGAAATCTAAGCTTTTATCAATATTGTGTATTGTATTGGAGATAAATAGGAATTAATTTAAATCATATAATATTTAAGAAATATTTAATTGTTTTCTACTTTCATATTCATAAGTCATGGTTTTTTTAAAAAAAAAACTATGTCGATACAATGTATTATTTTAAACTGTGAAACCTCCTGTAATAATGGTACAAATATTTAATGTAATTTTTTTGTCTTCTTACAGATGCCAGTATGCGGCGTTCACGTTATTACTGATTCAGGTAAGACAACGGTTTTATTAATTGTTCGTAAAATATGAGTTCAATGTGTCCATTGTGATGTCTTTAGTGAATGGATCAGTGCTCGGAAGTTGTAACAAGCTTAGTAGATATTATAACTACACCTATGTATTGTCGTTTTAAAAGTAGCTTATGCTTTTGACTTATAAATGGTCGTTTAAAAAAAATTAGTTTTAGCTTTTGATACAGTTTTTTTTTTTATGTCCATTCGACTCGAGTGAACATTTTTGTAGATGTTATCGAATATCAATAACGTAATAATTTGATGTATGAACTGTACATTCAAAATAAATGTACTTAAATCTAGTTGATTGTATTAACAATATTATAAAGCTAATCTTATTTTAAAATTGATCAATATGGGCATCATAATATTATTATTTTCTATTTCAAAATATGTCAAAGAACTCTAAGTTAGCAAACAACATACCAAGCAGTACACAAAAGGTTTTGGTATTTCGGCTAGATACATAAAGTACATTAAAAAACAAATAAATAACTATAAATATTGCATAGGCAAATATATTATGTTACGATTTCCGAATACTGATTTTGTTTTACCAAATATATTGTTTTACATTTTTGGGCGTATAAGATAATATTTTACTATTATTTATCGCTGAACCAGACATATTGAGTGGATATAACTCTGCAGTGAAATTTAATTGTGATCATGCACCACGATCAAGCAATAATTTTGAAAATTATAAGTTTTTTTAAAATTAAAATTTTATTTTGCCATTGGCGTTACTGGATAGGCTATTCAAGGAGTTTGATGTAGTCAATTTTGATTACATTTAAAGAAAAATGAAAATTTAAAAAATGTAAAACAGTAAAACTAACTTCTAATTTATTCAGAGTAACCGAATAGTAGTCAATAGGTACCATTGATCAAGTAATCAAGAATTTATGTAGAAAAACCTGTTCCTTAGGCTGTTAATAACAACTGTTTTTGGTGAAAAAATAATAATAATTATAAAAATTGGAGCACTTTTTATTCTTTAATGTGCGAAAATTCATTTCTATTTTTCGATACTGCTAGGCAAAGGTTTTCTATTTACTGACGTGGAGTATTTGGTTTTTTCATTCTGGATCAACGCCCTTTATGGTTCTTCTAATCGCCAACTGCTTTTAATAAATTTAACAACACGGACGTGTTGGCGACCCTCTTATTAATATTATGCGTTTTCTGATTTAAATTTTTTTCCTACATCGGAGCCAAAGTGCCGAATAAAATAATACAGTGGGTGGTATATATATTTTTCCGCGAATTGTCTTTTTTTGTGACTAGAAATAATTATCACGTTCTGTATTATATGAGAATAACAAAAAATTCGGACCCAATTACATTTTTTTTCCATGGGTGCGTTTATTTTTTATTTAAACGGATCTCATTGTACTCCAAAGATAATGACAATAAGTTAGATGGTTCATTGTGAACGGGCTAATAATAAATGACGCATTACAAATTTGTCTCGTTTTATTAATAGTGAGATAATTGCACAGCATCAGAAACCGTGCACCAAACAACAACAGAAACAACGACAACAATAATAATAATATCAGTATCGCACTTATACACATTAGGTATTAAAAAATCAGATTAAAATCAATATACTTACGCTATTGGCGTGATTAATATCAATATTAAAATATTCAAACAGAATGCTCTAGCGGTTATCTCGCTTGTACAATTTCTTATTCGATTTATTTATGCCACCGATCCTTAGCCTTAGCGAAGGACAGTATTATTATGCTATATTTTTTATTAATTGTTTTTTTCTTTTTAACTGTACCTACAGCCGTACGCTATTATTATATAATTTTTGGCTTATTTTGTCTGGAAGAGGTAAAATATGAAATAATACACAGTAAGTTTGCCCAAATTCGTCTGTGTCGACTGTAAGTGAGTGACTCCCGCGGGTGTGTTCGAGACGTGTTATTATATCGAGTTCGAAACCATTACCATTGTTATGGTATTTCACAAACTGAAATCGCGAGCGGTTTTTTGCTGTATTATTTTTTTTTCGCCGTATTTTCGAGAAATTAATTATATGAATATTGAACAACCACAAACTATACAACATTATTATACATTTTTTTCCATGTTTTTTTCCAATTTAAAACATAATGTAAAGAACCTAAAAACGGGACGTTCGATATTGGAATTCCACATTTCAAAGTTATTTTACATTGTATCACATATAGTTCAAATTCAATTACAGCAGCCGGTGAACAAAACAGCTATCGAATTCGTACCTATGGTAGTTGTATTTAACTGCAGCAGTTGTTAGTTTGGATGTTTTTCGATGCAGTTTTGTACTATTGTGTTGTAATATATATATATATAAGTTGTAATGTCGAAAAGCGTAATCTCCAACCGATTTCCAATAGATTTGGTGATTCCATTGCGTATAACCTATATATATTATAATAATACCCTTTACCTCAATGCCGATAATCATAAAAAAATAAATAAATACTTATTGTATAAAATTGCGATGATAGTGTTCTTCCGGTCAGCATCTGAAATAGTCCCGTTTCGACGGCGAAAAGGGTAGTGATGTGTGATGTATTATAATACCACTACGACTGGCATTGTAATAGTAGTACCTACCTATCTTATTGTAACGTTTTTGCGATTTAAAACCATGACATTGTAGAAATGATACATTTGAATAAATCTAGGTGTATTTAACGCGAATGATTTACATAATATATTTCGCATCCGAACCGTAAAAATAATGTCCGTAACACACATACATAAATTACACACTCGCTAGATTACACACACATACATACACAACTTACTGAAGCAATAAAACATAATTCGGATTTGTTAGTACCTATAGGTACATTACATATATCTATTACTATAATATAATAATAATCTATAGGTGTAATTTTTCGAAATAAGCGATCGTGACCGGGATGAAGAACGCATTCACGATTCCGCGTTGTTCCCGTGCAATTATTTCAAAGAACTACGTAAATCGAATTAAAATAATATAGGTATACACGGTGCCTATTAAAAACCGACGACGTTCAACAGTAAATATTGTTCGCAAACAAAATTGATATTAAATGACACGCGGATGCTCAACTCGGAGTCGTACACTGTATTACACAAGACGCATCTCGAGAGGCTGCTTATAATATTAATTATTATACTATATACGGTCGTTCGAAACATTCGGTCGGCTCGAAGGAAGAGTAGGAATCGAAAGAATCGTAAACTCGGAAGGCTTGTAAATCCGTCAATTTGGTCGCGTAGTAGTCTGCTCCCATGTTATTATCACAACGTCATATTAGTTTGCGACTCTGGCAAAGTATTCCATAGGTATTTGGTGTACCCATATTGATCGCATACAATTTAAAACTCTGTAATGAGTGTACAAATAAATGAGGGAAACCGGTTGCAGTATAGTCGATCATAAATGAAACATAACTTAATAATAATATACAAACTGCCATGTTATACGTCATGTTTTAGCTAATAATAAGTATAATTAAATGATTATTAAATTGTTGGCAGTCGAATAAACATGTAAGTTCGCCAAGTTCCTTGCCCAGTATCTGTTCCTTATTATGAGCTGTATATCATTACTATTATGTAAATTTCTAGAGTAATGGCCTGAAACTTATATTCTATTCAATGTTTGAATTTAGAATTTTTAGCTATAGACAATAGAAATGCAAAGAACACAATAAAGAAGTGCAAGTTATTAACGGTTGATACGGCACACCGCATCACGTGATTAAAAAAGTGTAAATAGTACCTAATTTAAATCAAGTCTAGTGTATTTTCCTCGAACTTAAAAAAATGTATTGTAGTCTTGTATTATGTATTGAATCTTTAGATCAAATTTAATAGTTTAAATAAATTTGAAACGATTACGAATTAAAATATGTGGCGTTGAATATTATAATAATTGATGTGCATTAATAAGAAGCGTTGAGCTTATTTTGAAAGTAATTATATTTGTACTTTGGTAGGCGTTCATCAAATTATTTAGAATGTATTATTTTTATCAGTAGTGGTATTTTTCAATGCGGTGAAAAAAATAATGCTCACAATTTTCAAGGGAAAAATAATAATAACACTCAAGTCAATTGCAGACTATCTCTCGGACGGTAATATTATTGCTGTACCAATAGTATATACTGTAATCCTATTAAAATATTATTATTATTATTGTCATTATTACGGTCGCCAGTGGTCAATTGATGTATTATTATTGTTGCATAATAAAGTCCTGCAAACGAATAGAACAGGACACATGCTAATGACGCGTGACTGACGGGTGTGAAGTAGCAGTGGAGCGATCGAAGACGAATGTATATTTTTTAAGGATCCGTTTTTTAAAATTCGTTTCTTATCGTTTTGGCGGTATCTGATACTGAATATTATTGTTCTGCGTGACCACACGTTTTGTTTCAATAACAGCTAAATGCAATGCATTATTTTATACATACCCATGAGACGATTACAGATATATTTGACTTTTGGAGTGACTTATTTAGTTTCATATAATTTTTATACATAATTATTGTATCGTTATTTATTACGTTAGTTGAAGTTTCTCGCTTGTTCTGTGTCTGTATCTGGGACATAATATATTAATACATTTTTTTACCATCGGAGTTTGCACATCGACTTTCGGAAAAAAACGTTAATTTTATCTCAGCGGCTCCTCACATACGATTTTTTCCCTCTCGTCGTATAGTATGCACTCCTCGTACTGTCAGATTTCTTCTTTACCGCCTGACCACGAGTCACAGCTGGTTTCTCAGACATATTATTGTGTATAATATACTGTTAGGTCCGTTCTTTCCACAAGATCCGGTCCAGTTATAGAAAATGATTTTCTCTCCGGGATTAGATACGTACGGTACATATTATAAATTGTCATGCGGTGATAGATAGTTATTATTTGTTCCGGCGCCGTATTTACGATTGTGACACTTTGCGATTGTTTTTT